TTTTAATCACAGTTAAATTTGCTTATCACATGATTCTTTGGAGTACTAAATGTTTTTAGATTGTGTGTGGGTGTGCACATGCCATGGCACTTGTTTGGATGTTAGAAGAGAACTTTTTCAGAGTCAGTTGTCTCAGCTGGGCATGGTGATGCACGCCTTTAATGCCAGCACATGGGAAGAAGAGGCAGTGGATCTCTGTGAGTTCCAGGCCAGCCTGGTCTATAAAGCAAGTTCCAGAACAGCCAGTGTCCTAGAACACAGAGAAACCCTGCCTTGAAAAAAAAACAAAGAAAAAAGACACAGGTCCTGGGATTGAATTCAGGTTGCCAGTATTAGTGGCAAGGGCCTTAACCCACTAGCTGGCCCAGACCCATCATTTTTAAAGCGAATAGAAAATGTGTTTGCAAGTCTCCGTATGAATTTGGCAAAGGTAAATGTTGATGTTTTCTTACATTATATTATCATGAATATATATATATAAATTGTATATATATATACACACACAATATATATACATATACAATATATATGTATATATATATACTATACACACACACACACACACACACACACACAAGCAGTTCGAAACCTGTGGGTCTCGACACCAGGGAGAAACAATAACAGATATTTAAATTATAATTTCTAACAGTAGGAAAATTAGTTATGAAGTAGCAATGAAATAATTTTTGGTGGGGGTCACCACAACACGAGGAACAATGTTAAAGGGTCTCAGCATTAGGAAGGTTGAGAACCACGGATATAGACTAATTCAGTTCTTTAAAATAAAAAATCTGACTTCAGGTGTGTACATATTAAACGTTAGCTTTTAAATGTCAGATTTTCTGGTATACCCCAAACTGCAACTACATTTATTTTTTTAACTGTGGTAGGGTAACAGCCTGAGGAAAAATATATTTACAGCAGTTTCATCTTCCTTATTTATTTCATACCTACCTTCTTTTTTTACAAATATGGAGTCACAGGTTTATAAAACTAAATTAACTTAAAAATTACCAATGTTCTCTTTGTAAACCACAAGTTTTATAAATTCTTTCACATTAAATAATTACTGAGAATTGGGTGGTGGTGGTGCAGCACTCGGGAGGCAGAGGCAGGTGGATCTCTGTGAGTTCGAGGCCAGCCTGGTCTACAAAGAGAGTTCCAGGACAGCCAGAGCTACACAGAGAAACTGTCTCAAAAAACCAAAAAAATAAATAGTTACTGAGCTTCTTATGTGAGGGAGGAAAGCAAGGTCTTGCTATGTAGCCTAGACTCACTGATCTCATTTCTTCCTACCTCTGCCTCCCCCATCCTCCTGTCTCAGCCTCCCAAGTGCTGGTATTATAGGCATGCACCGGGTTTGGCTTGGTGAGTACTCTATAAAAGCAAACTACTGCCGGGTGGTGGTGGCGCACGCCTTTAATCCCAGCACTCGGGAGGCAGAGCCAGGCGGATCTCTGTGAGTTCCAGGCCAGCTTGGGCTACCAAGTGAGCTCCAGGAAAGGCGCAAAGCGACACAGAGAAACCCTGTCTCGAAAACCCCCCCGAAAAAAAGCAAACTACTTTTTAATTCCATTTGCTTTACTTGAATGTGTGTAATTTTACCCAATGAACATTACTACTTAAGGAACTAAACTTTAATTAAGTCCTACTGGGAGTATTTTACCATGTTGTCCACAATTTGATTATGTAGTAGTATACTAGAATTCTAGGCACATGAAAATTGAAACTAAGCCCAACAATTCTTATTCACAATTATTAATGGCATTTGTGAGGGGAACGCATGGCATATATCTCAACACGGCAAAGTATACCTGAATCTCTCATGTAATGAATTTCATCAAATATGACCCAAGCAACTTCTCGCATTACTTCAGAACCTCTATACAGCATACTTCTCAAAATCTACAAGAGGGAAGACAGATTTAGCAGGGCTTTAACACAACATCCAATAATTAGACAAATACTGTTTGTTACCAACAAGGAATTTTTGATAACTTTGTTATGTGGAAATATTAAATATTATAAAGCTAAGTATCTTTGACTTCTCAATACATATAATCAGGTATCCACAAAGATACTATTATTATCATACCTACTCTTTTGTTTATTTGGAATATGAAGGCAACTTTCTCTGTATAACATCTTCCCAGGAGCCACACTTTAGGACATGAGAGGTACTTACTTAACTTTTATCCAAGACACTGGATCCCTAAAGTATTTATGTTTCTGCCTCACAATGTGGATACACTGTAATAATCATTGCCTTTAGTTGCAAGAGTTAAAGAAAATCTTCAGGTGAAAGTTTTTAGAATGGATAAAAACTTATATTGAACTCCAAAAAGAAAAGTGAGCTACCCCTTTTACATACTCTCCAAACTGGAAGCTAATTTATACTACTGTAAATGAAAATGAAATGATACTGTGAAAGTATGTATCAAAGTTCTAATAAGGGAGCTGGTTAGATGGTTCAGTGGGATCTAAGTTCAGTCCCCCAAAATCAACACATAAAGGTGAAGGTAGAAAACTGTCTCTCCGAAGTTCTTCTCTGACCTTCCTTCACACATGCACTATGGCACATGTGCCCACACACACACCATGCACAGAAATACATATACACACGATTTTTTTAAGTACCAACTACAGTAAGAGATAATCATGCCCAAATCATGTTATACTCAAAACTTAACAGTGATTAGAAAAAGTTAAGTATAATAGTGAGTATATATTTTTAAGTTGATTATTTACCTGCTTATTGTAATAAATACCCAGGCACAAAAGTAAAAAACAAAACAAAACATGAAACAGAGTCACTACATGTATGAAACAATGTATTCAAATCCTTGAAACTCTATATAATATAAAGAAATCAACTAAATATTTCAAGTCATAGTAATAAGTATTAAAAATAACTTTTTTTTTTTTTTTTTGGTTTTTTGAGACAAGGTTTCTCTGTGTAGCTTTGCGCCTTTCCTGGAACTCACTTGGCAGCCCAGGCTGGCCTCGAACAACTCACAGAGATCCGCCTGGCTCTGCCTCCCAAGTGCTGAAATTAAAGGCGTGCGCCACCACCGCCCGGCTAAAAATACTTTTAAACATATGTTTTATCAGAAGTAATAAATATTAATTTAGAGATATGTTTAATGCTGCTAGGGCACTTTACAATTATTATGCCCTTTTCAAACAATTCTATTCACAAATAATTATTACATTTTATCTGAAAAAGAGCAGGCTATAAACTATCCAGTGTTGAATTGACATACACTGACTAAACTCCAAAGGAAAGGTTAGATGAGGCACAACATAAATCACCTCTGTAGTCATAACAAGACAAGATGCTGTAGGATTAATAGTAACATCTCCAGTCATCAGACCAACATCTTGAAACTCTTCATACATTTCACGGTATTTCTGGTTACTGAGAGCCTTGATTGGGCTGGTAAATATTACACGCTGTTTTTCTCTTAAAGCCAATGCAATAGCATACCTAAAAATACAGAAACAGTTAAGACTTCATGTTTGGAGAGCATTCATTCATAATCTATTTGCTATAAATAAATTCTTACACTATAATCATGATTTATCTGAAAGGAAGAAGTTAACTGAGCAAGGACTTTTTAACTCACAGTCACTTGGAGTTAAAACTATAACTGGCTTATCAGTGGATACCCTATTTCTTGCTAGAAAAGCCTTTGGTTCTACTGACAGGCATCCAAAAGTCCACTACTTCTGTCCATCCATTTATACATACACAGACTGCAAAGAAGAAGAAACCCACAGAAAGGGGAGTGGATTTTTATTCTACAGTTTCATGAGTGAGTTCATCAATATGTACTCTTTTTCTTAATGTAATATTTAACAATTCTTTTTTTTTACTTATTGTAGGTTCTATTTATCAAGTTCTTTCCTAGGTATTAATGGAATTCAATACGATGGTATTGTTAGTTTGCTTTTAAAAGAAAGCTCAGTTTAGTATTTAACTACAGGCCATGAAATTAAGATTTAAGAGGAAACACTGTGGCTGAGACTTTTTAAAGAAATAGTTCCTGCACAAAGTATGCTTATCATACCAGCCATCCTCTGAATTATAAAATTAAGTATTGTTCAAACATGATCAAATAGTAACAGTGAAAGACATATATGGAAAAGCAAATATAGAGATGTTGCATTATCTAAAATACTGACCTTTTAGCAACAACAAGGAATAGGAATAGGAAACAGAAAAGTATACTCTGTACTTAGGGAAAAGTATACATAAGGAATTGAATGTTTGGCTCCAAAGGTTGGATTTGGCAGAAGAACATCTCAAAAGCAGCTACAGAGACAGCAACTTTTAAAACTATGTCCCTCAAAACACAGGAAACTATGTTCTAAGAATTAAAAACAAACAAGACAATAATTCCACAAATAGGTAATCTCAATAGGGAAATGTAAACTATTAACAGTATAAGCAAATGAAAACTGAGGTGGTTAGGGATGTAGCTCAATAGTAGAGCACGTGCCTAGCAAACACAAAGTCCTGGGTTTGGTCCCAGAACACTGGAAACAAACAAACAAACAAACAAACAAACAGAAAATCTACAAATTAAAAACCAGAAAAACAACAACAAAACAGTTGGAGAGATGGCTCCAGGGTCAGGAGCACTGATTGTTATTACAGAGAACATGGTTCAAATCCTAGCAACTACATGATAATTCACAACCCAGTTTCAAGGGATCTGATGCCCTCTTCCAACTTCCGTGGGCACAGGCAAAACACAAAATAAATAGAAAAAAGAAGTAGAAGGAATAGGTGGCACATGCCTTTAATCCCAGCATTCAGGAGGCAAAAGAAGGTGCATCCTCAACTAGGATAGTTGGAGGCTATCTTGTCTTCAGAGAAAGTTCCAGGACAGCTAGGACTACACAGAGAAACTCTATCTTCAGAAAAAAAAACAGAAACAAACAAACAAACAAACAAACAAACAAACAAACAGAAAATCTACAAACTGAAAACCAGAAAAACAACAACAAAACAGTTGGAGAGATGGCTCCAGGGTCAGGAGCACTGATTGTTATTACAGAGAACATGGTTCAAATCCCAGCAACTACATGATAGCTCACAACCCAGTTTCAGGGGATCTGATGCCCTCTTCCAACTTCTGTGGGCACAGGCAAAACACAAAATAAGTAGAAAATAAAAGTAGAAGGAATAGCCAGGTGTGGTGGTGCATGCCTTTAATCCCAGCATTGAGGAGGCAAAAGAAGGTGCATCCTCAACCAGGATAGTTGGAGGCTATCTGGTCTTCAGAGCAAGTTCCAGGACAGCTAGGACTACACAGAGAAACTATCTTCAGAAAAAAAAAAAAAAAAAAAAAAAAAAAAAAAAAAAAAAAAAAAGGAACACACAAGAAAACAAAACAAACAACAAAAACCTAGGGAAAAAAAAGAAACAAACATTCTAGGAAACAATCCTTGGACCTTAGTGGAAATTCCAAAATGACAAAGACATGAAACAAAAAAACAACAAAAAATCCTTTAATAGCTAAAATTGTCTGATTCTGGGACTATGACCAGCACCAAAAAAATAAAAATAAATTAATTAAACTTCCATCAAAAAGTTCAAAACCACCACTACAATATCTAAAACAGTCATTTGATAAAATTAATGGAAAATCCAACAATTCAAGAAACAAAAGACTAGTAAAATCTGAAGACAATAGAAATTTAACAGAACACAGAGCATGAGCCGACACCGTGGTCTAGTTTAAGAACCAGACTCCTCAATGGGACTCGGGAACAGATGAAAACAGACCCAACAAGGAATGCAAAACATGGGAGAATATAAAAAACAAAGTGTAGCATAAAGAAATTGTTAAGAGAGCTGGAGAGACAGCTCAATGGTTAAGAGCTCTTGATGTTCTTCCAGAGGACTCAAGTTCAATTCCCAGCCTCTATGTGGTGATTTACAACCATCTGTAACTCCAGTTCCAAAGGATCCAACATCTGCTTCTGCCATCTATAAGCAAGCACATATGCACACACGCACATGCACACACACGGCATACATATACAGAGAGACACACAAACACATATGTAAAACAAAACAAACCATTTAAACAATGATAAAGATAAAGTCTTCAAGGCAGCCAAAGAGAAGCAACGCATTACATCCAGAAGAAAGTAAGGATCAGAGTGATTTCTTGTCAAAAATTATGCAGACCAAAATGAAGACTTAAAACAAATTAACACTGAGGGGAAATGTTTTAAAAAATGAACAAGCAGCATTTTTTACAATGTTAAAGCAGTTTCTTATCAGGAGACTTGTACTGAAATAAAAACTTCAAGAATTTCTCCATTGTGGGAGCCTGTTTTCAGGTTCCTTGTGGCTTTACCCAGCAGGTCTGCATGGAGAGGATGATCAGGACCACGGGCCTGAGTGCAGGTGTCTGAGATGGTCTGCACTTGGCTATGTTGGGGGGTGGGGGGAGGACTTTTGCTCCACCCCTTGGCGTCTCTATAAATACCCTGGACCAGAGACAGTCGGGGCCCGTTGGAATAGGTTCCAGGCCCTCTCGAGGCTATCCTGTTTTTTCTGTTTATCTCCATAATCCAAATCCTTCTATCTAATATTTCCTGCTAATATCACTCAAGAAAACTCTGGGGAACTGTGGAGTTGATTGGCAAATGCCCCACACTTCATGAAGAAAGAAATGGTATCAGTAGGAAAATCTGGATCAGCATCAACAAATAATAACGTCTTTTTATATAAAGACATGTCATTTAAAAAAGGAAAACATTTCACTAATAGTAAAAATAATCTGTGGAACTACATAAACTTTAAATGCCTCTTAAAAAAAAAGAAGGTCTCAAAACAACTACATCTTCCTTAAGAAACAGGAGAAGAAAGTAAGTAAATGAAGTGAGTATATACCAACGAAATGGAAACAGAACAAAGAAAAAACAATGAGATCAAAAGCTGGATTTTGTCAGATCAAAATAACAGACACCCCCCCACCCCCACAGCTAGATTAAGAAAAAAAAAATCAAATATCAGCCTGACACAAAAAGAAAAAGGACATTAACAATAAATAAAAAACCAATGCGCCTCAGAAATGAAGATGTGAAATGTCTTAATAAAATTTTAATTCATCAATCCAACAATATAATACAATTATACATCATGACCAAATGGAATTTATCTCAGGATGATTCACTAGACACCCAGAAACACATTTCATCACATTAGCAGGAAAAGGCAAAAATCCATATACAAAACAAAGCAAAGCAAAACTGCACATCATTTCAATACAAAAAGAAAAGGAACTTAAAAAAAGATTGTGTCTCTAAACTCATTCAGACACACTGACTGAGAAAGAGACTAACTGCAAAGTAGGAACAGGAGTCATGCTTGATAAAAAGATGTCTATGAAAAACCCACAAGTAACATCATGCTTAATGATGATAAGCAAAATATTTTCCCAAATAATGGAACAAAGGAAGAACGGCTCTTGACTACATCTATTAAAACAACGTACTAAAAATCTTCAATGCTTTAATGAAGGCAACAAAAAGAAACTACAGGTTACCTAACAAGCAAAACCATCCTTATTTGCAGAATACAGACGGAAACTTTCAATGACTAAAATAATTAAGTGATTTGACTATTTCATTTGAAAACACTGATACTTACTCAGCACACACTGTTTTTCCCGCTGACGTATGAGCAGATACTAACACAGACTGATTATTATCAACACACTGAATGGCTTCTCTTTGGAAAGCATCAAGAATGAATGGGTATTCCTGTAAAAGCAAATTGACAAGACACATGAACATGCTAAGCTACTGAAGCACACTTAAAATCAAAAGAACTGTCCTTCCAAAGCATTCTAAGATTGCTTTATGATTCAACTACCACCCAGCAGTGACAGGGAAGAGGACTACAGAACAGTTTTACAGACAACACGAGCCTTTCTCACATAGTCTATTCATATTCACACCTAAATCAGTAATAAAATATCATTGTATGTTTTGTGGTACTGTGCAACAACTTTCCATATACCATAAATCTTCATAATTCCATAAAATAGTCATATGTATGACTTACTTTCCTAGATGAAAACTGAGTTTCTGAAAAAAGGAAATATCCAGCATTATCTAACTGAGAAATAATTTCTTAAACTTTAAGAGTTCATGCTTGCTCATCTTTTAGAGAAAGTTCTTTGAAAACATTAGCCTATTTTAACCTTTAAGGACTTTTTAAAAATCTAACGAAAACAGTCTGAAGTGAGAGGCGTACACGGGTAACCCCAGCACAGGTGAGGGAGGCTGCAGCAGAAAGACCAGGAGTCTGAGGCTCTTTTGGCACCAGAAAACCACAATGGACTGTGGTTACTTAGACGCTGCTGAACTGTTGAACCACCAGCAAAACTTACTTGCAATGTTTTCTACAGAAAGGCTGGCAAATCTCTTAGATTCTTTAAGAAGGGTGATAAGCACCCTTTAAATGTTTTAAAACTCATCCCACGAAGCCTGGTTTCTAGCATGGTTCTTTACTCAGTTATCATGGTATTTTATTTTAGGTTTCTTCAAAGGCACATACACGAGTAAATTTAAAAATCACATTTGAAATGTTTTCTTTTTTAAGATCTCACAAAACTTCCCAAATACTCTTGTACAGACCTTTGCTGCCTTTCCAACTCGAGGTTTAAGTGGTATATACTCCTCATCTGCAGGAAGAGCTACCTGATGTCAAAGTTTAAGGAGAAAGCAAGAAGTGACCGTTAAAATTCAATACTCCAAAACAAATGATGGTTTAAAGAATAGAAATGATCAACAAATTTCTTTTAAGTCTTACATGCTAGAAAAATCAACTGACTACAAGAACAAGGGGAAAAAAGTTAGTTACAATGTCCAAAACATCCCCTCTATTAGTGACGGCATAATAGCAATGCAATCAGAACACGAACCATTATTTCCCTGAAGAAACTGCTTACTGTCTACGATAGTATCATGGCTATCATTATCTTCCCCATACCTAATGTACAAACACTAATGAGTGCTCAAAAAGAAAACTCTTGCCGGGCAGCGGTGGCGCACGCCTTTAATCCCAGCACTCGGGAGGCAGAGGCAGGCGGATCTCTGTGAGTTCAAGGCCACCCTGGGCTACCAAGTGAGTCCCAGACCCTTTCACAGAGAAATCCTGTCTCGAAAAAAACAAAAAAAAAAAAAAACAAAAAGAAAACTCTAAGACATATAAAATGGGAGATCATCAATAACACAAAAGTACATGCAATAAAATGATAACCCTTATGTCCAGATCCCCAAGTGTGAGTATTAATACCTGAATGCCTGCACTTCCAACTGTGTAAGGATCTAAGTACTCATATAAATAATAATAAAATGACAACCCTTATTTCCAGATCCCCAAGTGTGAGTATTAATACCTGAGTGCCTGCACTTCCAACTGTGTAAGGATCTAAGCACTTGGCATAAAAATAACCTACCAAGTCACTTTAAGGAACACACAGAAATTGGATAAAACTTCAACTTCTGAAGATAAAATTTCAATAAAAATTAAATGGATGAAGTTAAAAGCTTTAGCAATATTAAGAACAATCAGTAAACTCACTACAATCAAGGTACTGTATTTATTAACGATTAACAGGAATGATTAGCAGAAATGAAAAGTGAACTGGTGATCCTCCTGCCTGGGCCTCCTTCAGCAAATCCTACCAGCGTGCACCACCACCATGGAGCGCCTAACCTCTTCACAGCAGGCTCTGGATCAGCAGTTCTCAAGCTGTGAGTCTAGACCCCCTTAAGGGTAGAATGACCCTTTCACAGGGGCCTGCTAAGACCATCAGAAAACATAGATATTTACATTACGATTCCTAACAGTAGCAAAATGAGAGTTAGGAAGCACCAACAAAAATCATTTTATGGTTGGTCACCACAACATGAGGAACTGTATTAAAGGGTCACAGCATTAGAAAGGTTGAGAAACACCGCTCTGGGTTATTCTCATTCTCTTTCTCTCTCTCTCTCTCTCTCTCTTGTAAAAGTAGGGGCATTGGACAGGGTCTAAAATAAGTACTGAAAGAATTAATTAGCCATTATATCTCACAGCCCCATATATGCTGCCTCCATCAAATCCCTCCCCTCAGAGCTCAGGGAACCCTGCAGAAGAAGAGGCAGAAAGAGTGTAAGAGCCAGAGGGATGGAGGATGGCAGGAGAACATGGCCCTCTATATCAGCAGGAGCAAAGCTCGGATGAACTCAGGGACTGAAGCAGCAAGCACAGGGCCTGCACAGGTCTGCACCAGGTCCTGTCCTTATATGACAGCTTCCAGTTTAGTGCATTTATGGGATTTGGGATTCCTGTGTGTGTGTGAATGCATGGGTCTCTGACTCCTGTGACTTCTCTTGGGCTCTTTTCCTTCTGCTGGTTAGTCTTGTTCAACTTTGATGTGATAGTTTTTATTTTATCCTATTTTGCTATATAAGAATGAATGAATAAAAACCCAGTCACTAGGTAAAGGTTAACAACTGAACTGTCATTTATACCTGCTGGGAGAGGGAAAAACCAGTTTTCTCCAATGGAGTGACACTGGGAATATCAAATCATTCCAGGGCAGGCCTCATGTCTCATGTTTAAGAGTAATAGGCCAACATATCCTGAACTCCAGTTTTTTGGATGCTTTTTTTGAGATAGGGTTTCTCAGTGTAGCCCTGGTTGTCCTGAAACTCACTCTCTAGACCAGACTGACCTTGAACTCAGAGATCCACCTGCCTCTACTTCCTGTCTCAGTACAGTGTGGTCAGCTCTCCTTCCATCTTGGGTCCAGGGATTGAACTCAGGTCACCTAGCTTGCATGGCAAGCTCCTTTATCCACTGACCTTTCCTGAAAGTCCAGCTTGATATAAAATTTCATTGTAATAATAAAAGGTTTAGTGGAGTAAATTGAATATATTACACTATGTCCTATGTGCATACAGTCTCACTTCTAAATGGGTAGATACTATAAGCATCAGTGACCACCATCTAATGGCAATTTACTAGTCACTGGAGCATGACATGGAATAGTATGTGAACTGTAAAAACAGTGCTGATGACTTTAAGAGTGTGAGAATAAACAAGTCCTAAACATTACTTTTGTGCTGGATAATTTCCCTATTTGTTTTTGGTTTTTTAAATATTGTCTTTATAGCTATCTCATGAAGGCAAACTTCATTGTTCTCAATTTACAGACTAAATAAACAATGTTCAAAGAGGTTAGAAAATTTGCCAAGATTATAGTTAGGAGAAATGCTGGGCTAGCATCTGAACCCAAGGCTTTGTCACAGAGCTATAGCTCTTCCCCATATTACATGAATCACACAGAAATGACTTGATTCCAAAGCCTGCAATGCTAAACAGCCTGCCCATCATCCCACTATCATTTGTAATGCTAACCTACTGTAGGCTGTTGTACTTACCTCATGCGTACAGCCTTCAACTGTTTCAACTGATTGAACCTTGACTCTGGGCATCAGGTCTGCCAAACTTAAAAAGTTATTAAAACGACATGAATTATTTTCAATAATTAAATAAGCCTCCTATCTGCACTGTTAAAAAAAGACACTGCTCAATTATAACACTGTAAATTCAAAATATTTTAGTTATTATAAGTATTCAGAGATGTCATGTAACTTAAATGAGCTGAAAATTAAAAATGCTAAGATCATCTTTTGTATATACAATAGACTGCTACATAGATTACTTAACAAATATAAGCTTAGCTCTACTATTTTAGATAAAAACCTCTTCAAAGCACTGTCACTATCTCAAAATACAAAGCTGATTCAAAAAACATTACACAACAGAAGGTAAATAAATAATTTAGATGTTGCTATAATTTATAGAGATATTCTCATCAAAATCCTACACTATGCTGATCTAGGCTCTCTGAACTCTGAGAGGACAAAACTATAAAAAAAATTAAACTAAATGTATTTCTATATATACATTATTATGTATTATATTTGTGATACATACTTTAAGACAATATGTTTTTGGTAAAAATTTAAAAGTTACAACAATAAATAACAAGGAATTAAAAATGCAATCACTATTATTTTGCAACCTATTATGCTAATGTGGACAAATGGCACCAACTCAAATTTTTCAGTGACACCTATATCACCATTTATAATAGATAATTTAGTAGTTATAACAGCCTAAACCGGCTGAGGAAAAACAAAATTGTAAACAGCATTATCACAGTGACAATCCAGTCCACCAAATATATTGGTATTAGGAGTAAAAGTTCCAGAAAAATTTTGAGAAATATAAATATCAGAAAACCTTTAGTCAGAGACGTCCATGGGTCTCCCTTATCAAGAGAAGTAGTTCTGACCACCAAAACCATGGTACTACTTGCAGCAATGGAAGTCTATTCTCCTAATATTAGTGCATACTTATTCCTATCACTGGGTCAGTGTTACTCTATTATCATTTTCTACCAGTCATCCTGAGACATCTAAGTAAAGAAAACATCTTTTCTCCTCTTAAAAAAAGAAGTCTTTAGGGTTTTTCTCAAAATTGGATTCTAAAATATTAAAAGAAGAATCATTTCTGTCTTCTAATTCTCCATATTTAAATAGTTGCTATATATTTCCATGCTTATAAAATTATAAAATAACAAATTTTAAAAACGTCATGCATCTATCAAATTAAGAGTTACTAACTTTATGACTATAAAAATACTACCTTAAGTCTTCATTAATCGAGTCTTCTATCCTGGGCTTCTTGCCAAAAATCGGTTCATCTGTGCCTTCAACATCTGCATCTCTCTTGTTTTTCCCACCACTGGCTGATTCTGATTGTAATTTAGCATCTAGTCGTTTCCTGAAAAACAATTTAGGAGAGATTCTCAACCTTCCTAATGCTGTGACCCCCACAGTAAAATGATTTCATTGCTACTTCATGGCTGTAATTTTGCTGTTATGAATAGTAATGGTATCTCATATGTGACTTCCAAATGGGTTAGGGGTTGAGAACTGCTGGTTTAGAATAAATTCCATAGTATCTTTCTAATTTTAAGGTAACACCATATTATTTAAAATACTATACATACTTAGCAAAGTCATTTTTTAAGTAAATGACCATCACAAATCAAAGCTGGCCAACTCTGAGAATAACTCTAACTTCATAACTAGTAAAGCTGAATATTATTCCTTATATATTTCATAATTTCTTGGAAGAGTTGCTTTAAAAAACTAAAATTCCCATTTTTAAAAATAAACATGAGGATTGTAAACCTTCAAAGCTTTCTCTAAGATTATGATACTATTTGGAAGTAAAAAATTAATGGTTGTATTTGAAGGTTAAAGTATTGACAAGAAAAAAGCCAGGCATGGTGGTATGCAGAAGAAATCACAGAACTCAGGGGGCTAAGGTAGGAAGATGTAAACTCAAGGGCAGCCTAGGCTGCAAAGTGAGACCCTGTTTCAAAAAGGCAAAAACAAACAAAAGAAAGCAAAAAAAAAAAAAAAAATCCAAAGTGACACTAAATGGGGTTTTATAGCTTGAATATCTGTAATGAATCAATTTAATTTCTACCCAGATAGAAAAATCAACTCCATGAAAATTTTAGATTTAGCTGCCAAGGCCAAAATTAGATAAAATAGGGCTGGAGAGATGACTCAACAATTAGAGCAGCCCTGGCTGCCCTTCCAGAGGACCCAGGTTCAAGTCCCAGCACCCACAGGACAGCAACGCACAACTCAGTAACTCAAGTCCCAGGGCATCCAGTGTTGCCTTCTGAGGCACCATGCAAGTAAGTGGCACACAGACATACACAAAAGTTTTGAAAAATTAAATGAATAAGCAGTGAAACTTGGTGCTGCATGCAGGACTTCGATCCCAGTTCTCACAGGCAAATCTCTATGAGTTCAAGGCCAGCCTGGTCTACAGAGTGAGTTTCAGGTCAGCCAGGGCTACGTAAAATGTCTCATATAAACCAAAAAATAACTATGTGGATAGATAGATGCTTCTATGAAATAAAATGAGAAATTTATCTTCTGCTGTTGTTACAGGACATAAAATTACTAAAATGTAGGTAATTAAAATTAAGAATTTAATGAAACACTATCATTAAAAGAGAAAGGGGGTAAGACAAAAACAGAAGAGAGTTGAAAACCATCAAACTGAAAAGGCATAGATCTAAAATAGTGGAGGACTTCCACTATTTTAAAATCTTCTTTATTTGTTTACTTATTCTGAGGTAGGGCACATGCTTGTGGAGGTCAGAGGACAATCTTCATAAGTCCTTTCTTTCCTCCCACCATGTGGAAGCCAAGGAATGGAACCCAGGACATCAAGTTCGGCAGCAAGAACACCTGTACCTGGTGAGCCAACTTGCTAGCCCCAAATGTATTTTCTTTTCCATTTTTTAAAAAAGCCTTGTAGCCAGGTGATGGTGG